AGCTGACTGAAGGAAGAGTTGGAGAGTAAAGTGAGAATGTGAAAACAACCCTTTTGGGGGGGCGGTGCGGGAAGTGGTGTAAAATTACTTTGCCCTGGACAGGCTGGTGACCTCTCCAGCCAGTGTGTGAGATCCCACAGAAACAGTCTTCAGGAAGTGCGTGCCTGCACATCTCTCGGGGACACTGAAGGCTTGTCTACACTTAGTCAGCTTGTGCAGAGTCCATCCAGGCATGAAAACATCTTCTCTCCTGAGGGAAGGCCTGTTACAGACCACACAGGGCTCAGCCAACACATCCATTTTGACAAAATTAAACCATGAACTAAAGTATCAATGGGAGAGAGAACTGACTTATTGAAGAAGCACTTCTCAACGTCAGAAGGCACATGCCTAGGAACAGGAAAACTTTCATCCCCAATGTAACTAGGGGAGTGCTTTGGGGCCTAGTCATTCACCAGTGGTCCACTTAAAGGAAATACCTGTGGTATCAGTTGAAAGTTGATGTGTGCGGGAGGGTGATACTCTTGGAAGGAAATAGAAACCTTGCTTCTATCTTTTATCCATACCATTAATAGAATAAAATTAACTAAATTCAGTGCAAACTCAGGAATTTTATTTAACCATCAGAAGAAACTTAAATGTCTTATGATAGACTTTACATTAACAGAAACTCTAAAAAGACTGAATACAAACTAACTTGACATTAATCAAACTTTTAATGTATCAATTTATTGCATATGTCAGTACAGAAAAATAGAAAGTATATCTTAAAAGAAATAAAAAAAAAAGTGTCCTTGCCATGGCTAGCACACAATGTACTATGACGTTCAAATCTGAGTTATAAAATTTTATTACTACTTCAAACAAAATATGGTCAATAATAAAAATATGATTTACATTATGAAATTAGACTCACTTTATCCTGAATATACTTCAGTATGTTGAAAACAATTTGAATTTCCAATATATGCTGTACTGACAGAAATTGTTATAAATTAAGTTCAACACACACCCATTACATTTGTATATATGGCACTTTTGTAAAAAAAAAAAAAATGTCGCTTAGTCTTATTTTTAAACTACATTTTTAAGATACAAAATATAAATGGAGGTATATTTGTGCCATTTGGCAAAAAAATGTGTTGACTGGAATTAGGATGATTATTTCTTTTGCCATACAAATGGACATATTATTTCTGATGAGCTAAGAGGAGGTGCATATGTGAGAATAAGAATAAACAGAAATATTTTTCATTTTCTACCTTATCATTTAAAAAATAGATGTCTGTGCTCTGTCATTTCCAGCTTTACCTGAGTGATATGAAAATACATGAATTTAAGAGATAATCCAAAAGTTACTTATGACTAAATTTTCCTTTCACAGCTTTTATTTTTTCCCATAATTTTCAAATATAATAGGAAAAAGGGACAGGGGAATATTGGAGGATTTCAGGATCTTGATCATGACCTAAATGAAAGTGACTTCTGTGACATCCTTCTTCTAAAGTTCACCTTACCCTAGCCTCAAGGAGGGGAGGGGCTCACTAACGTACACCACGTACAAGATCATTGTATAAAATATGGCCTTCAAAGTGAATTACCAAACCTATTCTGACCCAAGCCAATGGTGGCAAGAGATAAATAGGTGAGCATCAGAGGGCATAAACCCTCAGCAGTGATGACTGCAATATGGTCATTCCAGTGACTATTACCAGAGCCGTAATGTGTCTACAGAATTCAGAAAGCATTTAAAGAAAATAAAAATTTAGTCAAACCTTTTGCAAAAACTTAAGGTAGTGGCAATGTGAACTGTCCACTTTGTCATTAGAACTGTTTTGCATTCAAATGTGGTTTTGCAGTTTTCAGTTCCTTAGTTTGCAGTGTTTTTTTTTTTTTTTTTGGTATTGTCGATTGAACTCGGGGGCACTCAACCACTGAGCCACATCCCTAGCCCTATTTTGAATTTTATTTAGTGACAGGGTCTCACTGAGTTGCTGAGTGCCTCACTTTTGCTGAGGCTGGCTTTGAACTCAATCCTTCTGCCTCAGCCTCCAGAGCTGCTGGGATTGCAGGTGTGTGCCACCACGCCTGGCTGCAGTGTATTTTCAGGATTTGTTTTTTAACCATTTTTTGCCTGATTTTTCTTTTCTTGTCTTTTGCAAGGGAGAGGGTTAACAGGGATTGAACCCAAGGGCACTTAACTGCTGGGCTCCATCCCCAGCCCTTTAAAAAATGTTTAAATTTGGCCTGGGGATGTGGCTCTTGCGGTAGTGCACTCGCCTGGCATGTGTGGGGCGCTGGGTTCGATCCTCAGCACCACATAAAAATAAAGATGTTGTGTCCACCGAAAACTAAAATATATATTAAAAATTATTTTAAAAAATTATTTTTGAGACAGGGTCTTAAGTTGCTTAGTTGCCTTGGAAGTTATTGAAGCTGGCTTTGAACCTGCAATCCTCCTGCCTCAGCCTCCAGACTTGCTGGGATTACAGGGCCCTAATAATTTTTTTTTCTTTTTCTTAAAAAATATTTTTAGTTGTAGATAGCTACGATACTTTTATTCTTATGTGGTACTGAGAATTGAACCCAGTGCTTCATATGTGCTAGGCAAGTGCTCCACCACTAAGCTACAACCCCAGCCCAGGGTCCTAATAATCTTTAAAATAATAAATTTGATTTTTATTTCTAAATAAGTTTTATCTTTCCATACTTAAGATCATTTTAGTATTTCCAAATTTTTAGCTTAATAACTTAAAAGGGCAGCTAGGTAATTCACAAATGAATTTTATGAATGAGCCAGAAATGAACACACAAGATAATCTTACTTCATTTCCTTCAGAGATGGGGCCAAAACGAAGGCATGGCTCATGTACAAGTCACATTTTACTAAGACCAAGTGTTTCGACTACAATTTAGAAATTTTTTTAAAAAATAATGCTTTGTGGACCCCTAGAAACATGAGCTTATCTTCCACCCCTTTCCACACAAGCAAGTGGCCTTGAATACAGAAGCTGGTACAGACAGACAGTACAACCCCATGTGGCCCTGCCCCTCACTGGAGAGAGGCTCTTTAGGAAGAGACAGGGCAGGAATGGTACACGAGAGCTCCGTAACATCTTAAGTCCTGGCTTAAAATCCCAGGAGGATTATAAACCTGAAGTATACCCCCCCCCAAAAAAAAGGCAAAATAAAAAAGCACTGATGAAGAAAACCTGACACTTCATCAGCATGTTTCCAACCGAGTCAATCAGCTCCTCCACAGTGCAGCTGAGGGATTATTACATGAATACGTAACAGCAGAGTGCCCAGGAAACCTTAAAGATACAGCGGAGCTGTGCCATGAGAGCTCAGGTCCAAAGACGGACATTTTAATTTTCTCTTTCCAATACATTCCTACTCAGGATCGTCACTGTACATAGCAGGATTTACAAGATGAAAGGCAGCCTGCAATTGTGGAGAATTGACACAAAATACACCTCCCGTAATATGTGCTACCAACTTTCAAAAGCAAGACTTCTTATAATTAAGAATGTATAGAAACACATTATTCTTAGAAATCATATTTGCTATTTATCTTTTCTAAATCCTAGCATAAAGTCAATGATAAGAATGCTATTTAGCCCTATTTCCATGGAATATGTCTTTAAATTACAGTCAAGATTATTGACTCATTGTTTCTCTGCTCTAGCTGCTTTGTAGAAAGCAAAATATTCAAAATGTGTTCAAACTGACATCACAATGCATGGAGCTCAGTTACAATTAACTTTTAAGGACTGCTTGGAACAATCTGGCACAATTCTGTCTCACAGCTTATATATTTAATTAAGGTAAATCTTTTAAGTTTCAAGGGACTTAAGAAAAATTTCCCCTTCTTTTCTATGTATGTGTCTACACACTGCTCCCTGCATAAGCCATTCAACTGTGACACATGGTATCAGGCTGTGTCACAGAGCTCTAATTCCTCATGCTCACCTGTCCTCACGTACGAAATTTAAAAACTAAATTCCCCAAACTGTCTTTTGATACAGTTCTCTTTGACAGCAACTGGAATATTAAGTCAAGAACCTAGGTGTTTTAGCCTTTGCTTTATATATATTTTTTTATTTTCAAAAACTCTAATAAATGATCATAACCCTTTGGTGGGGGGTTAGGTGTATCCTAGGTCCTGGGGCTTAAATATCCAATATGGAATTATGTAAAATGGTATGTACAATCATGTAATAGGACTTCCTAATTTAATTCTTAAGCAAGTTCTAATCTTCGCTATGGGACTGGTATTCGTGGTTCAGCTTAAGACTTACAAAATTGACAGAAGCTAAAATTCTCTTTGCCACCAAAATTACAAATATTAAAAAGTTCAAATATGCACAGAAAGCTGCAGTAAGACTCTAAATTTCTATCTGCATGCCATGATCCAGACTGTACCTAACAAAAACACGGTACATTTATATTGGAAAACAGGGTCCCATTTATTTGTAAGAAAAAGCTGGATCTCGGCGTCCACCAGAGCAAAGGTCAATGGCAACCTGCACACAGGCCTCAGTTCCACTTCTTGCCAGAAACAAAATAGAATTTACATAAAAATAGATATAACCCAGATAACCATATACACCTGTATATGGTCAGTGCTATTTACATTAAAAATGTTGCATTGCATAAGTCAAGGAATAAAATACCATCATGCATTTCATTTTAACTTTTAAGGTGAAAAATGCAGTTATAGAATTAAGTTTTCTTACCATGATTGTCCCAATATTTACTACAGGAATTACATCCAAAGGTTTCTTGCTCATGTGTCTCCTTTCATTCATTGCCAGCTATTAGCCTAAATGTGACACAGATTATATGTCACTTAAGCAACAAGAAACTTTTGAATAACCTCTATTATACTGATGTACTAAACTAAAGTTATGGATATATAACCACATTGAAAGTTTTGATGAACATGTGTCAAATAATCCCAATAATTACAGTTCTTCAAATGTAAAAAACCATTTGGATCATCATAAAGGTACACTGAGGTCCTTTCAAAGTTTAATGTCATTCTTCAGACAAGTACAGACGTAACACACTTCTAAGAAATGAACATTCTTTATCATTCTGCACAAATTAAAATACAATGCATTAATCAAAAAGGGGAGCATCATATAATTGTTACACTAGATGACGTTTTTGTCATTTCTTCAGGAGAATGACTCTTTATCACTTCTTTGATGAACTGTTCCAGTGCAGGGAAGTAGCCCTGGCACTGCCACGTGTCGTTATGAGTTCCATCTGGAAAAATGGCTAGCCTCTTAGTCCGAGAGGGGGAGAGTTCATAAAGCTGCTTCATCATTACTGGTGGAATTAGTTGGTCGGAGAGTCCAGAGATGAAAAGTGAAGGCATTCTGCACTGAGAGATTTTTCGGTAGGACAAAAATTTATTTTTGTAGCACCATAAAGGAAGGTAACGCATTGGAAAGAATGAAAATAAAGTGCTGGCCATATGCGGTATGCTTAAAAATGTGTTCTCCACCATAATGGCTGAAATCCTATGTGAATTTTCAGAAGCCAAATGAATGGCCACTGCTCCTCCCAAGGAACGGCCAAAAAGAAAAATTTTTGTCTTATCAAGGTCAGGTCTAGTCATCACATAGTCTAGCACAGCTTCGGAATCTAAATAGAGCCCTTCTTCACTTGCTTCTCCTTCGCTTTTTCCATATCCTCGATAATCAACAAGCAAAAGATTAACTTTGAGGTTAACCAACATAAGCAATGCATTTGGTAACCTGTGACCTATGTTGCCTGCATTCCCATGAAAATAAATTATAGTTGGGGAATAGGGTGAATTGTCTCCAGTGTATCTTATTAAAATAAGATTTAGACGGACTCCATCTTTGGTTCTGATGAAAATGTTCTCATGTGGAATACCAGTGGGCATGGGAACATAAAGGCGTGAAGAGGACGGCTGTTCTGGGAAATAAAGCAATACATCCTGGAATTTATAGAGAATACCTGCTATTGATATGAAAATTAACAAAAGTAAGATAATGCCTCCATACAGATGAAAAGTCACTATTAAAGGTAAAAGAGAAATACGACAGAGAGCCCAAGACCACGAAGCCAAGGCTATTAGCCATCTTTCAATGAAGTTCCACAGCATCCAGGACTTTTCCATTGTAGCTCTCCGTAAGTATCCTAGAGAGAAAGATAAAGGATATCAATAATTCACCATATACCCATTACTTTTAAAGATCTGTGAAATAATGCAGTTAGTATCCTTGGAAGCCTACATGACGCCACAAGAAACAAGCTGCTGTAATTCTCATTGCCCCACTCCTTCACAACAATCTCTAATCTAAAGGAGCCTTCAGAGGTATACTTATGAAATGCAAATATTCACTAAAATTATTCAGTTTTTAAAAAGTGCTTACTTACTGCTAAGTACCTTCATTCATGTGTTTTCAATGATGTGACAGGAAAATGATGACGCCATTCTCAATTTTACAAAGAGGAGATGGAGTTCAAGGGCTGAAGTGGATGTGGCCATAGTCCCACCTCCACAGGCAAAGGAGCGAAGAAGCAAAGATGCACGACCCCAAAGCTCACGGCACATCAGCTGCTAAGCTATGTCCATCTAGGGCAAGTTCTGCTAAAGAGGTAACTACCCGATTCCAACCCTGCCAAACCAAGCCAATAGTTTATTTTCAATCTTTTTATATTTAAAATTATAAGTAAACCAGGGTTAAAAAAAAAACCAAATATTTCCTTCTACCCAAAGGTTTTTAGTTAATACAATACTAGAATATTGATCAATTTTAAGATTATTTTTGAGAAAAAGTTTAATAATGTGTCCTTCACACTAAACATAAGTTTAAGATTGCCAGTGTTTTGCGAGGTACAGGATCTCCTACAAAACACTTGTAGACGTTTCATGATAAGGTGTTACCACTGATCGCTATAACATATTTTAATACCAATAAACACGTGGGGGGATAATGTGGAACAAATGCACAGTAATTCTCTTAAGAACCAGAGGCAAACCAAAAAAAAAAAAGGCTGAGAAAAACTTTAAAATGTTACTGCAGCATATAACACACATAAAGTAAGAAACTATCACAGTTTTCTTTGTTACAAAGTAGTAGTCTACACAAGCTATCTTAACCTGCCTGGAGTTCTTTTGCCATTTTATCAGGTTTCTCAGGTAATATTTATCTACTTAGGCTTATTTACTAAACTTTTGAAAACACTAAATCTCCCTTTATACTTTATTATATACCACAATAAAGAAATTGCACTTATCTTCAATAAATAATTGTTGTTGATTTTTAAAAACTCATTGTGTGCCATGAGCAAAAAAAAGCATTTCAGTACATATGAAATTTAAAACTGAAAGAACATCATAAAATCAAATTACATTGGTTATTAAGACAATGCGTTGAATGGTTTAAAGAACTTGATTTTCACTATTATTTCACTCAACAGACTTTTGTATTAGAATTCTTATTAAAATGAATCTTTCTAAACCCACAAGTGGAACTTTTCTGGATTCAGAGAAACCAACACTGCCACCCAGTTGCAGGAAGTTTTATTACAAGGGGTGCCTCCTGCAATCTATAAAGTCCAAGATTAAAAACTTATAAGCAATGCCCAAATGCTGCTGGTATTAAACCTGCCTACAATTAGATTCAAAGATGTAATAGACTGAATAATAAGCCTCCTGTGCTGAACTGAACTGTTTGTTTTAATGATCTGCCAAGCTATTCATCAGCAGATTGGGCAGAGCTAATTCACACAACTTATCCGGGCACTTCAACGTCCCTTATAACAGTTACTTCATTTTATCTTTTAAAGTGTAAGTGATATCTGAACAATTTTGTGCTTAAAAGTTTCATTAGGGATATCTAAAAACAAACTTCATACACGAAAATAAAATAATTTTGGCACAATGATTTGAATTAAAATTTCTGGGATCATTTGTGTTTGTGTGTATGCTAAAGTCCTACAATGTATCATAAGATACTATTTGTTTCTTTCCAGGCATAGTAGCACACAACTGTAACCTTAGCAATTGAGGAAAGAGGTGATCTTAAATTCAAGGCCAGCTTCAGTAACTTAGTGAGACCCTGTCTGAAAATAAAAAGGTCTGGGTACAAATCAGCAGTTGAGCGCCTTAATACCCGCCATTGCCCCCATCCCCCCAAAAAGCTATGGTAAAAAATGTCAAATTTTTACTATTTTTTCTACAGCTAAACCAAAAAGTCATTTGTGAATTTATGACAGAGGTATCAAAATGAGTGATTCAAACATAATTTATTTGGTGATATAGTAGGTAATGGCATATTGACATTACATCACCCTTAAAATCTGTGAATAACTTTCTATTTAACACCCATTTCCAATCTGAATGTTCAAGAGTGAAAATTTTTAAAATGCCTGCATATAAGGTTAGTCAGTAACAAAGTAATAAAAACATTTAAAATTGCTATAGCTATGTTTCTCTTCTTTGCTTCTGTGATGAGCATTTCTGGCTTTACTGCTCCTGTCTGTTCTGTTCAAATCAATAACACCAGAATTTAGTGAGTAATTATAAGACAAGGAAGACACAGAAATATGAGGAACACATTATCTGGATAATCAGGGATGGGGAGCCTTGGCTTTCAAATCAAAGTTTTAAATAAAGTCAGGTAACAACACCACAAATATAAAGCTCTAAATAAGTGGAAAAAGCATGTTTTTTTTTTTTTAAAAAAAAAAAATTGTAGTTGTAGATGAACAGAATATCTTCATTTGGTTTTTATTTTTATATGGTGCTGAGGATTGAACCCAGTGCCTCATGCATGCTAGGCAAGTGCTCTGCCACTGAGCTACAGCCCCAGCCCCATAAAGCATATTTTGAAATTTAAAATACATTCACATCTGTTTAGATAAAAAATCTATAGTTAAATTTTTCAGCTACTAAATTTTCAAAAGTTGTTTTTTCTAGCCTTTTTAATGTCTAATTTCAGTAAACAATACTGACTTTAAATCTTTAAGGCCAGGAACTGTTTCCCTTTTCACTACTGTATCCCTAAATGACTACAAATACTCAAGATCAAAATGTTTCATGCATGAATAACCTAATAACTTATCTGAACTATTAGATTTCCAAGAAAACACAGTAATATTCTAAGCCACAGGTATATGTTTAAGACTGGATGTCAGGGACAAATGGCACATTTGGTTAAGTCTTTTATTGTTTAGGAATAAGAAATCTGGGGGTTTTCCACAAAATGTTCCAGAAGGGTCACTCCAAGTGACTGGGAATGAACACCAAAACTTACAGTAGAAGTGGCCTCCACAGCAGGAATCCACTCTGAGGGCGTGTGTCCTCTGACACGCTGCCACTGCAGGTGGGTCAGACTCACGGCTTGCGCTGTTTTCCTCACGCCATTTTTGTCTGTTTCTCCTCCCTACTCTGAATCATATTTATACCACCTCGAAGATGTTATTCGAAGAACTGGATCAAGCACACTTCATATCGGGAAGGTTTTTTATTTACTAAACTAGCTGACACCATGGCAAAGCACAATGACCAGTGCCATGTGTTAAGGGCCAACAGCCTTTCCTAGACTGGGCGTTCTGATGCCATGGACATGAACGGACACGAACAGACTGCACAGGGGCCGCAGCCTACGTGGTGTGGGCCTGCTGTATTTTGTTAATAAATTATAGTGAAGGGTTAACAAAACCTTTCTCCTTTTCCATATAAAAACTGGCCTTTGGTTAACCCTTCGGCAGTTTCCCTGGAAACATAATAAAGGTGAGATATCAGCTGTGTTTCTAAGCAACATTGTTTGTGGTTTAAAAAAAAAAAAAAAAAAAAGGACTCCTACTGGTGAGCGCTTGTGGATGACAAAGACAGAGCCCCCAACCACATTGAAAGCTTAAACAGGGGTTTCTCTGAATGGAACATGATTTGTAACTGCCTTATCCTTTACTGACTCCTAGATGCAATATCCATGTGTTACAGAGGATGCTATTTCCTGATAAGCATGAAGCAGCTAAGTAAGGTCAGACCCACATCCATCCATGTGTTATCTTGCCACCAGATCTGAGCTATCACCTGGGAAACGCACACTTGATGGTAGCTGACATGCTGGCGTGTTAGCCCTATCTTCCAACAAAGCAGAGGCTGAGGCTCACTATAATATTTGGATCTTGTGAACTGAGTGTCCAGTTGATCCCAAGACTTGATTATGCAGGATAAATGAGGTAATTGGTTGTCCTTTTGAAGTCCTGTGTGGCAAAGCATCTATGAAATGTGTCATTGGAAGAGAATTATTTGACAAGCTCTGTTGCATACTAAAATGTATTCACTGGTAACACTTTAGCCTCATATACAATCAAAAGAAATCATGACTTTAATATGGTCAAAGTTAAATCAGAGTTTTTACCGAGTAGAAGGGTTGCACAGTGGGAAGAAACCCCAGACCTGTTCTCTGAAGACCACATGACAGTCAGCCTATCACCTCTCCGCTTCCACCCATCTGTACGGCTATGTAATTTTAACCTTACCCCTGCATCTTAAACAGCTGACTGATCCCCATTTCTCAATTCTGCCTTTGCCCTGTTATCAGATCTTATCTCACATGTCAAACATCTCTAAAACCCATTAATATGTGGCTTTAACAAATCCCAGTTAACTCCTTCACCACTTGCTGAGAACCCAAGAAGCAAGCTCTTACCATGAATCTCAGAGTAAAGCTCACTTACTGCTGTATCTGAAGGATGTTTCTCTGTCCATGCTGTAAGACGCTGCCCTCCAACTGGTGATCACTGTGGACTCTTCCTCCAGCATCAATATGCTCCCATTCCTACCTCTCTCTAACCTATCCCCCTAGACACTGGCATTTCCCAAGGTCCGTCCTTTCAGGTTCCTTTTACTGTTTGGATCTGGATTGTACCCACAAGTCTAATGTGTTCAAGGCTTGGCTGCCAAATTGTAGTGCTACAGGGAAGTAGTGGAACCTTTAGAAGGCCGGGACAACAGGAAGGAAGTGAGGTCACAGGAGGTGGCCTGGAAGGGGACACTGGGACCTACCGGCCTTTCTCATTCCTTGCTTGCCATTCAGCATCAGGTGGGCGGTCTCCTCCACCATGTGCTCTGGGTCATCACATACTGCCCCTCCACAGGCCCAAGCAATGGGAACAAGCGGCAATGGACTAAAACCTCTAAAACTTTAAGCCCCAAATAAATCTTTACTTAAGGTTATTCCCTCAGTTATTTTGGTTCAGGTAAAGAAGGCTGGCTAACGCACTGGACTTTTCACTCAGGGACTTCACTTTCTCATGATTTCAATTATCACACCTGTGTGTGAGTGAATCCCAGTCTCTTCATCTGCAATCTCAATTTATTTCTGAAATATCTGACACTTCATTGACATCTCAAACTTCTCCAAACAACTCTTCCTCCCAGCCGAAGTTCTGTATGCATTACATTAATTATGAACAAAAAAAACAGCCTATAAGCAACTATGTCTAAAGTATAAATTCAATGAGTCAAGATATATACATACTAAGAATTATGTGTTCGTGTCAAAAGTCACTACATATGTATTACGGAAGCAAAAAATAAGTATCTTATAATATGTACTGATTATATTAGAATGAAAAAACCATAGAAATAATTTTGGTGCTTTCTAACTGATGTGTTTTGAGGGATCCTACTGATATCTGGCACCTCTCAAAAAATCTATTGAGGCATAACTGATCTTTATTATAATGCTCAGGCAAATAGATACAATTATGATTCCTTCCCCCTTAATAGTTCTGGCGTATGGAACTTCAAGTATCAGTGACATCCTATGTACGATGCAGGAATTCTGATCATCATGTACCTTATAGAGGTGGTGCTGGTCCCCTTGTGAATTTTATGGTCCTGATTAACTTGGTATGGTTAACTGAAATGCTCTGTATGCTTCCTGTCTTTAAATTCAAGTTTGGGTGGACAGTAACCCATACAAGACTGTAAATAAAAATTAAAATGTCACCATGTGGCCAGAAGTGCTAGCTGAATGAGAAGTCTACTATAATGGTCACAGTTGTCTGACCTCCAGTGATAACCTCATGTGCTCATGCTCCTTCATGTTCTTGAAGATCACAAATGGCTCCATTTGAAAGAAAAAATATTTATGTTACTATTCTATAAACGGGTGCTTAAAAAAATAAAGCTGAAAACTGAATTTATGACCAACCCTAGATTCTAAGTACTCAGAATACCACTGTGTGCCCCCAAGGAGCTGTCAAATCTGGTCTGGACCACTGGAAAATCCTACAAATGGCTTCCCAGTCTCTTCCCAAGCAATGGCCATCAGGACCCAATACATCCTACTACACTATGTAAAGATAAAAGGCAATGCCACAAGTAACATGTGCGAATATCTGCTGTGCTGATCAGAGTGTGTGGATAGTGTAGGCTATTTACAATGATAAATGCATTTCAGTCCTTACGCTCACATAGTTTAGGGTCCACCAAATAATTCTCAAGCAACTCCTGAGCCACTCAGGAGACACACACATATATACAAGACTGTATGTCTAACACAGGTTCATTCAGTTACAGAGGAGACAAAAATCAAAGATCACAACTGTCCTGAAAACAGCTTAAGAAAATAACAACCTTCACAATACCATCTACCTGGATCTCAAAAGCTTGTTTACTTACAGACACCAAGCGAAAACTTCTGCTTTGTTTGGTTCTTAAGTTTGTCTGACTCCAGCGTTCAGAATCTTACTTTTTCTATCAAGCAGCTGTCTGTTATTTTTAATCACTCAGCACAACTATTCTAAATACTGCTAGCTCTTTTGAATAATCTAAATAAATACTTGGAAAAGAGAGGACATTAGAGCAATTAAACTTGGTGAACTTTAAATGTTCCTATTAAATCCAAAATCTTTCTATGCTAGTGCTTCTCAAGAGGTCACTACAGACCCCTTGATGTCCTCAAGACACACTGTTGGGCCTCACAAGCTCAGAATTAAGCTCCTAATAACACTAAGACGTTCTTTACCTAGTGACTGACATCTCCACTAACAGTATACAAACAATGATGGGTAAAGTTGCCAATGCCTTGGCAGGAATCAAAGTAGTGGTGCTAATGTGTAGGATTATCACCCTAAGCTCATAGTAAAGAAGAGGGGGAAAAGTTCATTTCACTGAAGAATGGCACCAAAGAAGCAATGTTATTCATTTATTTGTATCTCAACCAATGAGTACAGTTTTTCAGCATGCTGTGTGACGTGTGTCGCAAAATGGCAAGCACACAGGAAGCACCTGTGCTGTATACTGAAGTACAACTGAACTGTAAGCTGCACTGGCTGCTTTTTTTAGGTGGCAATATTTTCATTTGGAAACTCAACTGACAAACCAATTATTCAGACTTAGGTGTTTGGCAGACACCTTCTGGAAACAGAAGCATGTTTCCAACTGCTCCCCAACACTTCCTTACTTTTCTAATGCCACTGTGGTGATGTTGTTGACAAATGTGAATTCTGAATCTACTAAACATGCCACCATTTGGAAGAATCTGTCTTAACCAACAATATAGCCTAAATGACCAATGAATGTCACAAATTTAGACATGAGTAAACATTTGTTGGAAGATAAACCAACAGATTCTAATACATCAAAACAAACACTATTCGATGCAGGTTCCAGAAGCCACTATGTAACTGACCTTAAGGACCCAACTCTTGTGAGTGTTGGAGTAGCACCAAAGAAATTCACGATTCCTGAGAAAATCATTACAATATTTACAACCTGGCATGAGCCTGATCTTGGCCATGTTTCACCTCAAGGATCCTGAATGCAGAAACAAGAGAATCTGTCTTCTATTAAGCAGACGTTAAAAATTATTTTAGAAAATGGTAAACGATGTCATAATCCTTTTGTCATTATAGTTGTTTTACATGAAACATGTCACTTATGTTAACATGTAATAGACTTAGAAACTCCCAGTTATAATTTTTAACTTATTTTTTAAAATAAAGGGGTCCTGAAACCAAAGGTTTGAGACCTGTACTGTACCTTCTAACTGCTTAACTTTATTGCCTTCCCTCCAAGAAACTTGCTTCCTTTAAATTATGAATGACACAGTATGTTTATTTAAATCCTTTGTGCCTTATATCATAAATTATAAATTTATTTAAAGTTCTTTACCCAGTAATGTTTTAATAAAAATTGAAGACCAACAAGACATGTTTCAATAATCATTGCCTTAATAACTAGGAGAGTAAAAGGGACAGATCTACCATTCTATTGACCAAAAACTTTTTAAGACAAATTATATTTTAATGAAGGTCAGAACAATAAAACTCTAATTATTCAAATTATGTTTTAATTGCAGAAGTGAACAACATATTGCAAATATATATTTGACTTGCTGATTCCACCAAGGGCAAAAGAACTTTGAAAGCTACAAATGTTTTATGTGAATGAGTTCCCAAAAAGCAATTTTGCTATAAGACTAAACAATTATAAATAGAATTATAAAGTCCTAATTCACAAATACACGATTATGTTTTAAGGTCCTTCAGTTGGCCTTAAAATTGATAATGTTAGACGTTTGTCTAAAAATAAAAATTGTTTACACATGAACCTGCACCATTGCCTTGTCAATGATGTGCATTTTTAAGTGAAGAATGCAAAGAGGAGAAAGTCAGTTCATGGGTCACTGTGACACCCACATCACAAGGATAGCAAGGACCTCATGGAGCTCACTGACTCTAGGGCAATTCACAGCTTCCAATCACAATCACATTATAAGCAACACAGAACTGATTCAGCATTCCTACATCAATGTATTTTCTCTCCTGATAATCACTGGAAAGGTAAGAAACCGTGCCAGCTGCCTAGCTGAAATGGAAACACAAATAGCTGCTATCAGGGTGTTGGAGACACCACAGAATGAATTATCTATTTCCCTAATGGTTACCCACATGCCATCAATAATGAAAATGTGTGTATTAATAGTCCTATGGGACAAATGAACAGTAACCCTCTAAGGAGGTGGCAGAGGTCAACTGAGTGGTTTAGAGAGCATTATGTACCTCCAAAAGTAGATACCTCAAAAATCATACTACGTAGCAACTTAGTAACATTTTGTGGTTGCTTTCTTCTGAGGAAAACTAAAATGTCAGATTTTGTAACTAAGCAAAGCATTCATAATTTGTTCTGAGATTATAATATCTGCAAGTAGGAAGATGGTAAGCAATAAGAAAAACCACAAGTCTCTAAATGTAAATACTGACGTTAGGTTAGGTTGATAGTGAAATTCAGGAATTCTGCAACTTATAAATGGGTAGTGTTTTAAAATTTAATCTATGAACTGGAGGGATAAGCCTTGGAATTTATTTTTTCATATGAAACCAATGCTACAAAAAAAAGCTGGATTCTCTGGCTAGCTTGTAAATGCATGCACTTGACATCCTGGAAATACTATACCCTTACAAGGGATTTCAGCAGAATGTACTATTTTAGGAGTTAAGACCTTTATGAAACAACAACATAAAATGTAATAATGTCTCATGAAGTCTGTCATTTGAAGAAAAATCCTTAATTGAAAGAAAAAGAACTAAAATGTTTTTAAAAATCTACTCAAATAGGGTATTTATAGGCTCCAACTTTTAGTCAACTAAACAAGAATTGGAACTTGGAATCTGAGTAATGGTTCAATGAGTTCTAAATTTATGAAAACAGAGAAATAGAAATAAATTCTCCTGAGATAAGTGACAACAGAGGTACAACCAGAAAAAAATGTAAGGTCCAACAGTTTCCTGTGCCTACACTACGTCATGTTGTTGGCCCAGGACGACTGAGTTGAGTAAATCCTTCTACTGGGACAACAAGGGGACTATAGCATACCTGGAAAGAGAGCTGTGAGCCCAGCGCTCCCTGAAGGCACAAGGTGCAGAAGCTGGCTTGTCCTCATGGTTCCACACAGACTATCAGGAGTGTGCAGTGGAAGGAGTGGGTGTTTTGGGGTGTGGTCTGCCAATAGCTAGGTAACTTTTGCCAACTCAATTTAATATGTGTTTCCTTGTATGTAAAAGGAAGATGAAACATCTAAGTCAAATACTGCTGGGATCAAATATAGTAGTGTTAATAAATGCAGCTACTTCTATTTAAACAAATTTAAACCATTTCATTACCTACTAGAGCTGCGTAAGTAAAAGTACGTACAACTAGGAGTCCTGCTAGATTTGGATTTAATACTGGAAATGACTCGTTGAAGACTGTGCCACCTGCACACAGAGAATAAGACAATGCCTCATTTTTCTGTCAAAATCGGCTCAGGTGGTAGATTCTCTAGCTCTCCTTGGGCCACTACTGCCAACATTCTCCATTCTGCAGGTGGTGTAAACTCTGCTGGTGAGACTTACAGCCGGTGTGAGCAGGTTTATTATACTCTGTGAGTTCCTTGCTGACAGAGACTTCATCCTGCT